TGATCCTCCTCCTCCTCCTCCGCCTCCTTCTCCTCCTCCTCCCCCTCCTCCTCCCCCTCCTCCTCCCTCTCATCCTCCCTGTCCTCCTCCCTCTTCTTCTCCCTCTCCTTCTTCTCCTCCTCCTCCTCCTCCTCCTCCTCCTGCTGCTCCTCCTCCTCCTCGTCCATCCCTTTTCCGTCTAACTAACTTCTCCCTGTCGCACCCCGAGGCCAGTTTGTAGGGCGGGCCGGGCGTTTCGCCTGGGACTTCCTCACCATGTATGACCCTGCAGCTCAAAAGTTGGCAACAGGTTCACAGATTCAGGGCGGCCCGTTTACAACATGTGGCTCTCGCCCGCGCGCCTCGCACACTCGTGTTAAAGTGTGCAGGAGATGTACGGATTGAGGGCGGTTCCTTTTCAAGATGTTGCTCTCGCTCTAGCGCCGCGTACACTCGGTGTAAAAATTGCGACACTGTCACGGATTGAGGGCAGTTCCTTCTTCGAAATGCGGGTACCGCCTTAGCGCCGCGTGCCTTCGTGCTTAACATGTGCAAGAGTTTCACGGATTCCCATGCGCAACGTACCAGCTATGGTGTTTGGAAGGATTCAGGGTTATGAGGGTGCAGCAGTTACGTAGATTCGCGGTGTTGACGTCCCAGGAATGGCGTTCTGGCATGGTTCGGGGTCGTCAAGACGAAACGAACAGGTTTATCCATATCGTTGGAATCCCGAGAACAATGTGTTGGCATGCTTCAGGGTCTTCAAACGGTTGTCTTCTAACGGGACAGTTCCCTCAATTAAAATGAACCACTGTACGGGCCTGCGAAGGGGAAGCTTGGAGGGAGGGTTTATTCCAACATCGTTGCTGATTATTTGGTTTACTGGTCCTCCTCCTCCGCCTCTTCATCCTCCTCCTCCTACATATACTCCTCGGCATCATCACCCCAACCACCAACACATCCTCATGCACATGCTCCGTCTTGGTGTTGCGAAACAAATTTATAGTCGTGACGAACAGCATCAGCATCACAGCCAGCATCGTCATCGTGACCATCACCATTACAGTATCATCATCAGCAGCAGCGTCAAAAGCATCATCATTATCATAGTCATCATAATCATCAGCAGCATCATCACCATCATCATCATAACACGCAGCAGCATCGTTGCCATCATCAGCATCACAATCAACATCAGCAGCAGCAGCAGCAGCAGCATGATCAGCATCATCATCTGCAGCAGCATCAGCATCAGCATCATCATCACCCACCCATGCTATACATCCCTACCCATGTTATCCACCCCACCACTAGCATCATCACTTTATCGACTTCTCCAGGTAGGCTTGCCTCTGGGGGTCCAAGCTAAATCCAATGAGAACTGGTCCACTGCTCCCACCCCCCTCTACTTTTCCCTTGCAATCGTCAAACCATTCGGAAGGCTTCCTTTGTATCCGCACGGCTTTCTCTGCTATCCGCATGGCTTCCTCTGTATCCACAGGGTTTCATCTGCTATCCGCATGGGCCCCTCTGTATCCGCATGGCTTCCTCTGCTGTTATAATGGCGCCGTGTAGCTATTCCAATGGCGTCCCAACAATCGTCAAGCATTCATCCGCATGGCCTCCTCTGTATCAGAACGGCTTTCTCTGCTATCCGCATGACTTCATCTGTATCCGTATGGTTTCCACTGCTATCCGCATGGTTTCCTCTGCATCCACATGGCTTCCTCTGCTAATCCAATGGCGTCCTGTGGCTATCCCAACGGCGCCCCAACGATCGCCAACAATCGTCAAGCTCAGAAATAGGGTAGAGCAAAGTCAAGCAGAGTATAATGTACTAGAGTGGAGAAGAAGAGTAGACTAGTTGAGAAAATACGCTCCGAATATAGATTAATGTAGAGCACAGCAGAGCAGAGCCGAGCATCGAAGAGCAGAAGAGAGCAGAGTAAAGTAGGGCAGAGTATAATATGATAGGACGTGAGCAGAGCCGAGTGTAACAGGGCAGAACCAGAGAGCGGCAGAGGTTATAGGGGCCTGGGAGTGGGAGCAGAACAGAGCAGGGTCAAGCTAGCCACGTCGAGCGGGTCCGAGGACCCAGCCTGCTCCCACCCTCCCTCTCCCACCGAATATAGGACCGACTGTGGCAGTAGGCTGCCGCTTGGTGTCAGTTGCTCCGCCGCTTGGTTTCAGTTGCTCCGCGGCCTCGGTCCAGTTGCTCCGCCGAGGTAAGCCAGCACTCGATACCGGGATTGGAGCGCGCTCCCACCTCGCAGGCGGAAGGCGCTCGCGCGCGGCCTCCCTTTTCCGACGACTCTTGGCGCGAACTCCGACGGGCGCGGCGAGGACGAAGCGGCACCTTGCCGCTTTCGCTCCCTCCTCCTCCTACTCCTCCTCCTCCTCCTCCTCCTCCTCCTCCTCCTCCTCCTCCTCCTCCTCCTCCTCCTCCTCCTCCTCCTCCTCCTCACCCTTCCTCCTCCTCCTCCTCCTCACTCCTCCTCCTCCTCCTCCTCCCCCCCCCTCGCTTTCGCTGCCGACCTCGCCCAGTCGCCGCGCTGCCGCTTCCGCCCACACCCTGCGCGGCGTCTTTGGGCGAGGCCGGCACCTCCGCCTGCTCTCGCGCGGCCCCGCGGCCGCCATCGCGCTCTGGTGCGCGTCGGTGAACCGACCAGACGTAATTAGAGCTGTGCGTAGCCCGCCTAGCTTTTAGCGGAAGAGGTTCGCCCTCGCCCCGCCGACCAAAAGAGGTGAACCAACCGATGCGCCGCGCCCGCGCGGGAGTGACGCTTCCGAAACGACCTGCGCACGGAGCTCGGGCGAGGGCGGCAGGTCGCTCGGAGCCCCGCGCGGGGCCCCAAAGAAGCGGCGGCTGCCACGGATGCGCCGCTCCGTGGCCAGAGCTCCACTTCCAGGGGAAACCGCACGGCACCGGGGCGAGAGCGACATGGTCCTCCCGTCGCGCGTCGACGACGTGGCGTGCGAGGGGAGCATGCGCCGCGCCCCCGGCCGGGAGCTCAACTCGCCAGAAAAATGGTCGCGGCGCCGGGGGGGGGGGTGACATTGCGGCCTTTCGCACGGGATGCGCGCCCTGTCCCACTCCCGCTACGCCACTAGCAACATGGACGACGGAACATCCATGTTGGGACGCTAAATATTGATGCTGTACAGCTTTGACAGGTAAGATGGTACACCCCCGATTGGATTGCAATCGGCTGGCTAGGGGACAGTGAGAGCACACTCCAAGAACGAGAGAGGATAGGATAGAGCACAGCAGAGTACGGTAACGAGAAAAGAATTGGAGCAGGAGGGAACCAGGCAGAGTAGAATATAGTACATGGTAGAATAGAAAGTGGTATGATAAAACAGAGTGAAGTGGGGCAGAGTAGACTTTATGAGGTAAGCCGAGTAGAATAGCGTAGCGTGAAAGAGAGTAGAGTAAGAGTATGGGAGGGTAGATTTGAACAGCATTGCGTAGGAGCAGAGAGGACTTGAGTAGAGCAGCGTAGGAGTATAAGTAGGAGTAATGCCAAGTTGTCCAGGTCAAACAAGTCAGAGGACCCAGCCTACGCCCACCCTCCCTCCCACAACGTAATGATAAAGTGTGGCACAACCTGATACTTGGATTGCAACGCGTTCCAAGCTCGCAAACGGAAAGCGCTCGAGCGCGACGCCGCTTCCAACGACCTGGCTAAAAGAAAACTGCGCGGGCAGCACAAGGGCGGGAGCGGCCAAAGTTCCAGCGGGCGCGGCAGAGACGAACTATATGCGCCGCGCGGACACAGCACTGCCACTTTCACTCACAAACTGCGCGGCGCCTGGGCGAGGTCGACATTTCGACCACCCCCGCGCGGACACGCTGCCGCTGTCGCCTTCATGCGATTCTGAGCATCGTTCAGCCGAGCCCCATCCCCAGCGGCGTGGCCTGGGCACGTTCCCCTCGGGCTTCGAGGGGCATCTCCCCAACTGGGGTGGCAATCTGGTTTTGGGGTCTCGCAGGGGATGGGGATGGGGACGGGGATCGGTTAAACGGTACCGAGACTCGGCGAAAGAGCTATAAGGGCTCCCAACTTCGCGCTTCGCGCTGCGCGAAGCGCGAAGTGCGAATAACTTCGCGCTCTCGCGCCGCCTCCCAGGGGAGAAGAGGAGGACGAGGAGGAATCGGAGCCGAACCGCGAAGCGCGAAGCGCGAATAACTTCGCGCCCTCGAGGGCGCCCCGTGCCGCGTGGCCGCGCCCGAGCGCCACCTCGGAGCGTGCAAGATGCGCGCACGGAGCGCTCGGGCGAGGGCGACACGTCGCCCGGAGCCGCGCGGGGCCGCCAACAGAACCCTGGCGCGCTCCTCCTCCTCTCCCTCCTCCTCCTCCTCCTCCTCCTCCTCCTCCTCCTCCTCCTCCTCCTCCTCCTCCTCCTCCTCCTCCTCCTCCTCCTCCTCCTCCTCCTCCTCCTCCCTCCTCCTCCTCCTCCTCCTCCTCCTCCTCCTCCTCCTCCTCCTGCGCACGTCGAGGCGGGAGCGCCCCTGCCAGGCGACAAATTTGCACGGCGCCGGGGCGCGAGAGCGGCACGGTCGGAGGGCGGAAAAAAGCCCACCCCGACATTAAGCACCCCGACATAAGTCCTCCTCCTCCTCCTCCTCCTCCTCCTCCTCCTCCTCCTCCTCCTCCTCCTCCTCCTCCACCCCGACGCGCGGGGCCTCCTCGTAAGCGCGCCCAGCGAAGGAGTCGAGCAGGGCAGGGCTGTTCAGTAAACGCCCAGGGCCGTCTGGTACACGCCGATTGTCGGTTGCGGGTGGCTTGTCCTCCCTTGAATAGGCGACGAGCCCAGGGGGGAAATGAGAAGGAGAAGGCCTTCTCAGAAGGCCGCGGGACTTCTTAGAAGTCCGGGGGGCTTCTGAGAGGTCTCCTTAGCCTATTTCGAATACAGACTGAACTTCTCAGAAGCCCTCTCAGAAGTCCGGAAACTTCTCAGAAGCCTCGGAAGTCCCGCCCCTTCTCATTTCCCCCCCGCGCCCGCCGCCGATTGAAGTTTCCTCCGTTCGCGCGCCGACGAAGTGGCGTGCGAGGAACGTGCGCCGCGCCCCCGAGCGGGAGCTCACTTCTCTGGAGAAACGTGCTCGCGGCGCCGAGGGGAGAGCGACGTGTCGGTCGTTCGCGCGGGATGCGCGCCCCGTCCCACTCCCGCCACGCATGTGGCACCGAGAACGACAAAATGTCCATGCTGCGACGAAGAACATTGATGTCGCATTGTTCTGGCAGGTAAGGTAAGGCGTCCCAGATCCGGCCACTTATCGGCTGGTTTGGTTGCCGAGAGACTAGAGATACCAATCTGAACTAAGGCTATACAGCATAGTTGAGTAGAATAGAGCAGAGTGGAGTAGCGTAGCGTGGAGTAGAGTAGAGTAGAGTAGAGCAGAGTGGAGTAGCGTAGCGTAGCGTAGCGTAGCGTAGCGTAGCGTAGCGTAGAGTAGAGTAGAGTAGAGTAGAGTAGAGTAGAGTAGAGTAGAGTAGAGTAGAGTAGAGTAGAGTAGAGTAGAGTAGAGTAGAGTAGAGTAGAGTAGAGTAGAGTAGAGCAGAGCAGAGCAGAGCAGAGTAGAGTAGAGTAGAGTAGAGTAGAGTAGTAGTAGAGTAGAGTAGAGTAGAGTAGTAGAGTAGAGTAGAGTTAGAGTAGAGTAGAGTAGAGTAGAGTAGAGTAGAGTAGAGTAGAGTAGAGTAGAGTAGAGTAGAGTAGAGTAGAGTAGAGTAGAGTAGAGTAGAGTAGAGTAGAGTAGAGTAGAGTTAGAGTAGAGTAGAGTAGAGTAGAGTAGAGTAGAGTAGAGTAGAGTAGAGTAGTAGAGTAGAGTAGAGTTAGAGTAAGTAGAGTAGTAGAGTAAGAGTAGAGTAGAGTAGAGTAGTAGTAGAGTAGAGTAGAGTAGAAAGTAGAGTAGAGTAGAGTAGATAGAGTAGAGTAGAGTAGAGTTAGAGTAGAGTAGAGTAGAGTAGAGTTAGAGTAGAGTGGAGAGTGGAGTGGAGTGAGTGAGTTAGTGGGAGTGGAGTGGAGTGTAGAGTAGAGTAGAGTAGAGTAGAGTAGAGTAGAGTAAGTAGAGTAGAGTAGGGTAGGTAGAGTAGGTAGGGTAGAGTGAGTAGTTAGAGTAGAGTAGAGTAGAGTAGAGTAGAGTAGAGCAGAGCAGAGCAGAGCAGAGCCAGAGCAGAGCAGAGCAGAGTAGAGTAGAGTAGAGTAGAGTAGAGTAGAGTAGAGTAGAGTAGAGAGTAGAGTAGAGTAGAGTAGAAGAGTAGAGTAGAGTAGAGTAGAGTAGAGTAGAGTAGAGTAGAGTAGAGTAGAGTAGAGTAGAGTAGAGTAGAGTAGAGTAGAGTAGAGTAGAGTAGAGTAGGTATACTTAGAGTTAGAGTTAGCTTGAGAGTTAGAGTTAGAATTAGAAGCTAGAGCTAGAGTTAGAGTAGAGTAGGGTAGGAGTAGATGTAGAGAGTTGGGTCTTATATAATGGAGTAGAGTGGAGTAGAGTCCACCCCAGTCCAGTCCAGCCTACTCAAGTCCAGTTTACTTCAGTCTACCCCAGTCCACTGCATTACAGTCTGACGATTCACTTGCATTATGCGCTAACTGATGTCCAAATTCCACCACATCATCATCCTCATCATCATCACCACCAGCACCATCATCATCACGAGCATAAGTATCATCGTCGTCATCACCATCCACACATCGTCCATACATCCTTTACCTCCCTCCTTTGTCTCTGGAGTCAGGCTCATGTCGCATTTTGCCGTGGCTTTGCGGCTCGAACTGGCAAGTCCTGACCTTCGGGCAGGCTCATTCGTCGCGTTTTGCCGCGCTCTGCGCCTCGAAATTCGAATCCTGGCCTTCGGGAGTCAGGTTCTGTCGCGTTTTGCTGCAGCTCGAGCTGTTACTTGGGCGTGAGGTTGTTTCGTACCTGGTGCTGTTCACTGGCTGCACCTACGAGTCCGCTGATTACAGTGACTTCGGCCTAGCGCTGCGCATCGTCGGGGGCGTCGTCGCGTCCATAGGTGACTATGAGGCTTCCGACCAGGTGTGCGGCGTGCTCGTCTAGGCCGGCCCTTCTTTTGTGTCGCAGCGCTCGCTGCTGGGCGAGTCTCTGACCGATCAACCGCCGACCCTGGGGGGCCCCTTCGCTGCTCCTGCCGTTGCCCCCGCTCTTCTCGCTCGCCTCTCCTCCTGCTCTCCTGGCTCCTCTCGCCCGTCCTCGGCCCCTCGGGTGTTCCTTGAACGGCCTTTTGTGGCCTTGCTCCCCCTCCCTGCCTGGGGTCACGTTCGCATCCCGCTCGTCGGTGCGCACGTCCCTGGGACTCAGTTTCTCGGTCCGTCAGGGCCTGCTGGGCCCCGCTCGACTTCGTGGCATTAAATTGTCGTCCGACGGGTGCACTCTCAGAGTTTCACGCATTTGAAGATTTGAATCGTAACCCCTTGATTTAAACTCTTCGCTACACATCTGCACGCTTGCGCGTACACACAGAGCTCGGCTCTCGCGGTCTTCATTGCTACCGCATCCCGCCACGCTTAGTGAGAACAAGGAGAGCTGCGGGCCCAAAGTCGTGTCTAATCTAATCTCCCCTCCACTCCCACTCCGACTTCCACTCTGACTCCCACTCCCACTCTTCAATCCCCGGCTTCTGAGCAAGAACTCAAGCCTCTTGCGATCGTTTGGGACGATTCCAGCAACCCCCGGAATGCGCTCGACAAAGCGCACCTGATGGAAACCGCCATGGGCCTCGAAAGCTATAGAAAAAACTTCGGGAACTTTCGAGAACTTGCCCCTTAATGCCGCCCCTGAGCCTACCACATTCTACGGTCGGGAACTTTTGCTTAGCGTGTCGCGGCGGCAGCCCCGGCGACACGCTATGCCTTGCGAGTGGATAACGTGTCGCTCCGCTCCGCCGTGGGGAGGGGAAGAAAGCTCGGGACGTTCACGCCTCAGGACCGTAAAGTGGATAGCGTGTCGCACCGAGGCGCGGTGGGCCAGATGCAGCGGAGCGACTCGCTATCCAACAGCTCCTGACCCGAGCCTTGCCACCGACAGGCGGAGGACGGGAGCCAACCGCGGACACGCCCTGGCCTGCGAGACCTCCGCCCCCCTGAGCCGACGCGGCCGTCGGCCGGCCAGGCCAACCAGCGCGCGCGGCGGCGCGGCGCGGCGCCGCTCAGGAGGCCGCTCAGTGTTGCTGCAGGCCGTTCCTTCACGAGCGGCGGCTTCAGTGGCAACTCACGGGAGCCTCCCGTGCCATCCTGCTGGCTCCTGCGAAGCGCCGCTGGGCGACGCTCACCGACGCATCGACGCCAGCTCGGCGATCGGACGCCTGCGCACTCCGAGGGTGGAACTCCGAGGGCACGCAGGGCTCCCGTGAGCTGCCACCGGCGGCGCCGCATCCGCCCCCGCGCCCTCGCGGTCTGGACTCTGGGGCGCGGCCCCGCGGAGACGCGGCCGCACGGGCGCGGTCCCCCGCGCGGGGGGGGGGCCGCCGCGCAGGCGAACGCCGCGCACCCGCCCGGGGGGGGGGGGCGGCGCAGAGACGACACGCGGTCGCACGGGCACGCCCCGGGGGCGGGGGCGCGCGCGGAGAAGCGCCGCGCATGCCGCGGGGGGGCCCAGGGCCCGCGAGGCCGTGGGTACGGATGCTCCAGCTCTCAAAAAGATGGGCCCAGGGCCTCGCGAGCGAGGGGGGGGGCGGGTTCAAAAAGATGAGTGGCACTGGGACCCCCCCCCCCCCACAAGAGCGGCGCAACGAGGGGCCCCCAGGCCGAGACCTCTTTCGTCTGGCTGGTCCGGCGAGGCCCACCAGGCCCCCCCCCCCCCAAAAAAAGGCAGATCCGCCCCCCCCCCCCCCGATTGTCCTGAGACCCGAAGCATGTGTTCTACCCACGAGCTCCTCACGTGGCGCCCGGAGCGGAGCTGCACGAGCGCCGTCTCCGACTCCAAGATGCTGAGGGCGTCTTTTAGCCCTGCGATCTCGGCCTCCCGGCGCCTCTTCCGCTCCTCGTAGGCCTCTGGCTTCGCGATGCAGCGGTCCTTGATCTTCGAGTAATACTCCAGCACGGCCTTCAGCTCTGTGTTCATGGTCTCCTTGTCGCTGGTCATGTCGGCGAGCGCTTTGTCAAGACTCTTGAACTCCTGCGTCTTGTACTTCAGCGCCTGGCTCTTCTCGGTCTTGATCACGGCGTTCTCCTGAGTCAGCCTCTCGTACTCGGCGGCCTCGTCGGCCTCCTCGTGCTCCCGCTTGGCAAGGTTTTTGGCGAAGTCCGATTGGCAGACTTCTAAGATGCCAATGATTGATCCACCAGCGCCGCTGGCCGCACTGTGCATCACCGGGGGCTCTGGCTGCCCCGTCTGCACCAGCGCGGCTGCTTCAGAGGAGTAGTAGGACCGAAGGATGGTCAGTGCCTGGCCCACACCTGTCAGGCCCAGCGACAGCTCCTCCTTTGCAACCTTGAAGGCGGCGCTGGTGTCGGCACGGATCTTGTCCAGTTCGGCCTGCATCTTGGCAAGCTCCGCGAGCTCCTTCTGCAGGGTGGCTACGTCGTCCTTGAGCGTCGCGGAGGTTGCCGCCGCCTTGTCCATCTTCGCTGTGAGCGTGTCGAGGTCCTCCTCCAGCTCTGATTTCTTCTCCTCCGTCTTGGCCTATCGAGTCGCTCGATCTGGCCCCAACTAGGGCCTGCGTGCGATCGCTGCCCGGCCCACCCCGGGCACACCGACGTGCGGAGCACGCTGTCCGATGAGCCTCAGAACGCGCCTAAGCGCCGACGTGTGCTCGTTCACAGAAGCCCTCCGATGCGAAGCAGGCATCGCAATGAGGGCGACACGGGTTGCGTTCAGCGAAACGGGGCGGCACACGCACACACACGCACACACACACACACACACACACACACACACACACACGTACGCACACACACACACACACACACACACACACACACACTGCACGACACGCGCCCTGAGGACAATCGAAAAGTGCGGATCACACCGTTGAGCGAGAACCCGCTGGATCGCCCCAGGCCCTTTCGATCGACGGGCAGCCAAAGATCTGTGATCGAGCCCCGACCGATGGGCCAGGGTCTTCCAAGTAAGGAGGCGGCCATCTGGTCGTCGCAGTAAGCCTTCTCGTCGGCGGCATCACTCGCCTCCTTCTCGAGCTTGACGATGAGACCCGCTGACACGCTTGCGGCGTCGGTGGGCGCGTGAGATTGCTTGGTCCCCAAAGCAGTGGTTGCACCAAGTTTAAGTCGGGCCCGTCCCCCTACAGGCGGATGTGGGAGGATAAATAAAAAATAGTCGAATGACGCCGCAAAAAATATCCAGAAATAGTCCAAAAATCGCCCCCCGACTCTCTTTCAGCTATTTTTCAAGATGCCCCCTGTAGAGGGACACGACCGACTTCACACTAAGTGTTCCTTGATCCTCTCTTGTAAGGAACTGGATGTGACAAGCGGGGTTTCGCCCGGAGCCTCTTGGGGCCGTTGGGGGCTATGCCATCACCCCGGGAACGCGTGTGTGCACCCTGGAGTTTGAGACCCTGTGCGGGCCTCCCCACCGTGAGGTACCTCGCAGCTCCTCGGCCCCTCCCGGCCTGCTGGCGCGTCAGGGCTTCGGGGATGCAGCGCGGGACTCCTTCCGAGCGCTCCTCGCGGGACGAAGGGGGGAGGGGGGGGCAGTGCCAGAGCCCAGACGGAAACTCCTGGGGATCACTGCATCTCTTTTTTTTATAAATATATATATATATATATATATATATGTTTTTTTTATATTTTTTTATTTTTTTTGCTCCGCGTCTGCCGCGGCCGCCGCTCGCAGTGCCTGCCGCTGGCGCGTGCTCCTCGCAGGGGCCCGCTCGGCGCCCGCCCGCGGGCGCCCCGCGCGCGCCTCGCGCTCCCCGGCACGCCGCCGGCACCACAGCGGCTGCACCGCATGCCTTCACAGTCGGCGGTGGACAGACCTCCCTCCAGTATAGACCTCCCTTCAGTATAGGGCGACGAAATCTATACATATCCACTGCTCCCAGGCCAGGCCCATCCTCAACCCCGCAGCGGTGTGTACGCCACGCCCTCCTGGCTTGGCCAGGAGGGCGCATACACAGCTCCTGGGTTCAAGATGGGCATGGTCAGGGAGCAGTGGATATGTGTAGATTTCGTCGCCCTTCAGTAGGCCTCCCTTCAGTAGACAGACCTTCCTGCCTGGAAAATCGGGGCTGGACAGGCCTCCCTTCCGTAGGCCTCCCCTCAGTGAAAAAAACGGCCCGGGGCCGAAACCGACGGACCCGGGCCCGCAGGAATGACGGCCGCGACGCCCTCTCGCGAGCCGAAAGCGGCCGATTCCTGAATCGACGCGTCAGGGCAGGAGGTCTGTCCACCCCCGATTCCAAAGGGCCCAAGGACAAACAAATAGATACACACGGATCCCAGGATCCCCCCCCCCATTTCCCCATCCTTTTCTGGGCGTTCGTCTCCCCCCAACTTCCCACATAGTGTCCCATCTGTTCCCAGGAATCGACGAGGAATTGTGTCTGTATGTTCTTCCCCTCCTGAAGCTTGCACCGCAGAACTGCCACCGAATCCGCCGACCCTGTCGGCGTGCGTGAGGGGCTCGTCCGTGCGAGTCGTCGTCTCCGTCGGTCGTCGACTCCGTCGTCCCCTCTCCCTGCACCCTCCTCCTTGAGCATATCAGCGGGCGCAAAATCTAGCAGAGCAATGTCGTAATCGAGTCGAAGTGAAGCCCCTTCCCTTTGAACCCGAGTCACGGGGTGGGGGTCAGATACGCATCCCCCCTGGGGGTCCCAGGGCTTCAAAAAGAGCAAGGGAAGTCCCTTCCCTTTGATCCCTCCCCCGTCGGGAGGAAGCGGGGTCCTGGGGAGGGGGTCAGCTGCGCATCCCCCTGGCGGTCCTGGGGCCTCAAATTGAGCAAGACGAGCCAGGAGTGCCCCAGGTGGTCGCCGAGACGGTCCAAAGGGGCCCCCCAATCGCCAAACGTTCGGTCCAAAACGCCTTCACGCCCTCCAGACTGCCAAGGAGGCCTCCAAGACGCCCCAGGAGGCCTCCAAGAGCACTCCCGAGGGGGCCCCAGGAGGCAAAATTCATAGATGTTCCATGAATTGTTGCAGGATTTGGCCGTTCTTGCGTGTTCCACTTCCCGCCGCTCCAAGATGGCCCAAGAGGCCCCAAGGATCGCCAAAGACGGCCCAAGAGGCCTCCAAGAGGGCTCCAAAGCAACCCAAGAGGACACCAAGACGGCCCAAAACGCCTCCGAGACTGCCCAAAAGTCCCCGAAGACGGCTCCAAGAGCGTGCCCAGACGGGGGACCCGAACAGACATTTCGAGCCATCGGCCCCGAGGGTCTCCCAGGAGACCCCACGAGGTTCCAAAGAGGCCCACAAGAGGCCCACAAGAGGCCCACAAGAGGCCCCAAGGAAGCCCGAAGAGGCCCCCAAAAGGCTTCCAAGAGGCCCCAAAAATTCATCCCCAGAGGCCCCCGAGAGCCGTCCGAAGATACCCCAAGAAGCATCCCTGAGGACTCTGGCCCACGTCAGCATCGTCATCGTCGCCGCCGCCGCCACCTCCACCGTCGTCGTCGTCGTCCCCCGTCAGGGTCGGCGGCGCTGGCCGTAAGGTCTTCGCAATAGCTTGCACCACATAGCTTAGACAGCATAGCTTGCACCACATAGTTTGAACCACGTAGCTTGCACCGCATACATGACATCACATTGCTGCCACCACATAGCTTATATTACATAGCTTGCACCTCATAGCTTACACCACCTACACTGCCCCACAAAGCAGGCCGAGGAAGAGTGTGAGGGAGAGGTAAAAGGGGCCTTCAACGGTTTTTCCAGGCGGGGATCCCACGAAACTTCCAAGACGGCCCAAGAGGCCTTAAGACGTACTCCAACACGGCTCAAGAGACCCGAGAGGCATCACAAGAGAACCTGCGAGGCACCAAGACAGCTCCAAGAGGCTGTCAGGGAAGGTTCCCAGAGGTTCCAGACGGCCCGTCAGGCCCCAAACAGATCGAAGAAGCATCCAAGTAAGGATCCACAGGGATATCAAATAGCTTCCTGAAGATGTCCATGGACCCGATCCATTCGGATATTCCGACAAAAAACAGAGAGAAAAAAAAAAAAAAAAAAAAAAAAAAAAAAAAAAAAAAAAAAAACTGAGGGCATGTGAGGCTCAGTACGGTCAGAATTGTGCGCAGGCAACCCCCGCCGTCCACTTGGCAGAATACATGGACAAAGGGCAATCCGAGCACGGCAACAAACATCGATAACAGCAAATCCTCTAGCAATACCAAGGATCACACACGGAAAGACAGGACAAGGAGAGTACAGGGCTATGAGGGATGGACCATTGCGCAAAGAGGCAAGAGGAACATCTGACTGCACAAATGAACATTCGAATGCAACCATTTGCGCCGCATGTTGTGACATGATGTACACGTCGAATGGCCATCCACATAAAATCGTACAAGCACATCCCCGCCACCTTCCCGAAAACAAGGGAACTCGGCACAGCACATCGGGACCACCGTGCAGGGGAAAGGGCACTGGCGGTGAACCTGTGCACTGGAGCTAACGGCCTCAGCAACAGACATAGGCGGTCTGCACACCAGGCGGGACCATCGCAGGTGCACCCAGCGAAGACCCTGTATGCAAGTCGATCACTTGCTGATGTAATTGCATTGGAATGGTGCTGGCGGACGTGGCGTAAGCTTGTTGGATCTTCGATCAAATCCTTAACCTTGGCGAAGGGGTCGGCGCCAGCCTGGGTGCCGAGCTTCACGGCCGCCTCGATGCGCGAGGCGAGCTGCGCGAGGGCGGACGAGTGGAAGTGCCTCGCGAGGGTCTTGACTTTCGATAGCACCTCGGCCCTCTTGAGGTCCGCGCGGGTCCTCATCCTGGAGTTCTCGGACACTTGCAGGAAACTGTAGGTCTGCTCCACGGCGCCCGTGCTGGTCTCCGTCAAGACCTTCTTTGCCTCAGCGAGGACCTTCAACTCCTCGTTGCGGCTTGCCACAGAGGCCTCGTGGTCGCTGGCGATCTCCATGCAGCTGGCCTGCACGTCCGACAGCATTGCCTTCGCATCACTCAGGGCCTTCGCCGTCATCTGCAGGTCTTTTTCGTTCGTTGCCTTCTCTTCCTGCGCTGCCTTCCTAACAGCCTTCTCGTCAGCCAGGTCCTTGTCGCCATTCTTGTTGGCATCGTCTAAGGATTGTTTCAGCATGGCGTAGTTCTGCTTCGCGTCGGTCTCGGCCTTGCGCAGGGCCGAGAGGTCCTCCTCGGCCTTCTCCTGCAGGTCCTCAAGCAAGTCCAACAAGTCGCTGCTATGGCTCTTGTACACTGTGGCGCTTGGCGCGCCGGAGGGATCCTCCTCGGAGCCCGAGCCCTGGCTGGCCTGGACCAAAGCGATCAACTTCTGCTTCCCGGCGCTGGAGAACGCGGCGGCATCGACGACGGTGCTCAGGGACTGCACCAGAGCCCTGAAGTTCCTGGTATCCACCTGCGCCAGGGCCGGGTTCTTCGCCATCTCCTTAGAGATGATGCTGATGGCCCGCTTGAGGGTATCGATTGTGTCCATCAGCTCCACTTCGTTCGTACCGAATTCCTCCGCCTCCTCGTCACGGATTGCGGTGGCATCCGCCAGGTCCTTTGCCAGCGCACATATAAAATAAGTACACTTCAACTTCAAGCTAGCGTACACATGAAACATGTACTGCCTCACAGTGGTCATCTTCCTCCTCCCTGCTATCTGTCCCATGTATTTTCCCGTGCAACATTGATGAAGTTTCAAAGGAACTTCATGCCAGCGCACCTGTGAAACATGAGCTTCCTCAGTTGTTCCCGATTCCTCCTCCCTGTTATATTTCTTCCTTCTGCCCCTACCTCATCCTTTTCTCCTCCTCCTCCTCCTCCTCCTCCTCCTCCTCCTCCCCCTCCCCCTCCTCCTCCCCCTCCTCCTCCCCCTCCTCGTCCCCCTCCTCCTCCTCTTCCTCCCCCATGTCCTCTGTGCTTTCCTGCTCTTCCCCTGTGCCCCCACTTCCTCTCACTCCTGACCCTACCCTCACCTCCCTGGGGGCGCGCTGTCCTTTGTTGCAGTCCTCCTTCTCCTCCTCCTCCTCTCCTCCTCCTCCTCCTCCTCCCCCCTCCTCCTCCTCCTCCTCCTTCTCCTCCTCCTCCTCCTCCTCCTCCTCCTCCTCCTCCTCCTCCCCCATGTCCTCTGTGCTTTCTGCTTTCCTGCTCCCCGGGGGCGTGCTGTCCTTTGTTGCAGTCGCAATCTGTTTTACCAGCTTCTCGATGTTGGCGTCGCATGTGCTGATATCGCTGGTTAGCTTGCCGATCGAGGCATCCAGCTTATCCTTGGCGGAGGTCAGCGTCGTGATCTCGTGGCGCTTGTCGCTGGCAGTGTCGTCGCACCAGTCCACGTACTCGCGATAGGCGGAGTCGGCCATCTCGCCCTCCTTGACTACTTTGGCGGAGAGCGAGTCCAGCAGCTCGATCACCTTGCCCAGGGGATTGGCACCGTCAGCACTCACCGGGGCGACTGCCCCAGTGGCGAGCACGACGGCGGCGAGGAGGGTCTGCATTGCGAGCTGGAGCTGCGAGCGAGCTCAAGTTGCTGGCCTGCCGCCTTGCGCTTTGAGTCGGAGGGGCTGCTTCGAGGAGAGGGAGCAGCGACAGCAGCAGCGGGCGCTTCGCGCGCGCCTCGGGGCTCGCCAGGGAGAGGGTCGGCAGCAGAGTGGGCAGCGTCGGCAGCAGTGCTGGAGGAGCCAGGGGAAAGAATGGAGCGGACGAAGGAGGAAGGAGGAAAAAAGCAGGAGGGGGAGGAGGAGGAGAAGATGGAAGAGGCCGAGGAGGAGGAGAAGGAGCGGAAGGATAAAGAGGAGAAGGAGGAGGCGGCGGAGGAGAAGGGGGAGGAGGAGGAGGAGGAGGAGGAGGAGGAGGAGGAGAAGGAAGAAGGGGAATAGGAGAAGGAGGCAGCGTAGTCACTTTGACTCAAGGCTAGATGTTCGTTCTGGGGACCGTCATGGAGCCACTCGCTCCACTCGTGCGTCGATGCTGCGTCGAACGTCCGTCGACTCGAATCGAACCTGAGTCGGACTTGAGTCGAACTTGAGTCGAGCTAGTGTCGACTTAGAGCCGAAAAATGGTCGAACCATAATCGACCTAGAGTCGAGAAGATCCGCTGAGTGGGCCCCAGAAAGGTCCCCAGAACTAACATCGAATCGAGGCTGGCGGAACTCGAAGTCGGACGGCCGATGGCTGCGTGATCGGGCGGCAGTTGGCGGAGAGGCGTGCCCTCAGCGCGCTGGCCGCGCGACGGGCAGCTATCCTCGCTCCTGCCAAGCGGCCGTGCGGGTTGCGTCAGGGGTCTGATGGAACCAGCCTGGCACCGTGGGGTACAGCCATCGTGCTACCGCAGTGAACGCCACATCAGGAACGGAGGGGCTCCTCTGGCCAGCGCGAGCCTCGGCCGTGAAGATCTGGACGCCCGACGAGGGTACAGAAAGCGTGGGCACGATATGCCCAGCAACAGATGTTGTCCAAGACCGACAGCGGCCGCCGTTGCGCAGCCAGCCTTGCGCCCAAAACGGGCGACGTCCGCGGGGACACGGCGAGTGCTGCTCACAATGGGCAGGAGCTGCTGTCGGTCTTCTACCGGACGTGAAAACGAGCACAGTAAGGGCTCCCAAGTTCGCGCTTCGCGCTGCGCGAAGCGCGAAGTGCGAATAACTTCGCCCTCTCGCGCCGCCTCCCAGGGGAGAAGAGGAGGACGAGGAGGAATCGGAGCCGAACCGCGAAGCGCGAAGCGCGAATAACTTCGCGCGCTCGAGGGCGCCCTTGGCACAGCCACTGTTTTTCTTTGTTGCCGCCTTCCAGCCAGCAGACCAAAGCAGTGGCTGTGGTCATTTTCGTTGAGCTTGGAACCAGGGAAATGACCACAAGCACTGCTTCTTTTTTTGGCCGGCTGGAAGGCGGCGCAGATAAGAAGCAGTGGCTGCGGTCATTTTCCCGTCCCGCATCTTCGCACCCATTCTGTCCGTACACGTCTCGACCGCCCCGAGAAGAGCACCCGCGACCTGCACGCAGGAACGGCCAGCAGCCCAAACGTTGGAGGCCTGGAAATTGGCACCAACACCAGCACAGGGGGTTGCCTTCACAGGGGGAAGATGGTCCCAGATTTTCGGTGCTGGTGGTAATGGTTCGGCCATCTTGGAAGCCCGAATGTTACCACCATCACCGAGATCGGGATCCTCTTCCCTCGGTGGAGGCACACCGCCGCAATTGGTGTTGGTGTCAATCCCTAGGCCTGCGAAAACGCCCCCCTCCAGAGCCTCGCGAAGTGGACCCCACCTCGGCGCGCTCTGGCGACGCCCGCGCGGCGCGTGCCATCCCACGCGCCCGGCGGGCAAGGCTCCGCGGGCACGGGCCGCGCTCGCCGCGCAGCACGCGCCGAGGCCGGGCCCATCTGTAGAGGCCTCCTCCTCCTCCTCCCCCTCCTCCTCCTCCTCCTCCTCCTCCTCCTCCTCCTCCTCCTCCTCCGCCGAGGTCCTGGATGGGGTCGGAGCACTCCAGATTTCGTAAGAAAGGGAGGGGGGTCTCATTTCGGGGGGGGGTCTCTTCCAGGCTAGCTTGGAGGGCCTGGGGGGGTCTGGGGACGATGTTTTGGAGGGTTCTCCCACGGGGGGGGGGTCTGAAATGGCTTGTCCTGGAGGGTCCAGACCCCCTCCCTGTTATTACGAAATCTGGAGTAGATGGGGTCGGAGGATCGCACCGCATCGCCGATACATCCGCGATGCATCGGCGATGCATCGGCGATGCATCGGCGATGCGCCGGCGATGCATCGTCGACGTCGGCGATGCAGTGGCGACGTCGACGTGAAGCAAATCGGGCTGCACATCGAGCCGCATCGGCGATGCATCGGTGATGCGGCGCCATCCTCCGACCCCATCCACTCCGACCCCATCTGGGAGGCCTGGAATCGGGGCCGAAGGAAAACGTTTTTGTTAGGACTTGTCGGCGATGGCCCGGGCCATCCAGGGGGGGGGGCGAGGGGGAAGGTGCCGGCCGATGCCCAGCCTTTTCGCTCCGGGCACCCCCCACGCGGCTCGTTCCCACCGAACAACCTGCTGCCCCTCAAGAGGGCCAGCGCTGCACCTGTCGACGAGCCGTTGCAGCTCGCACGCGGCCTGCAGGCAGCCCCATGTATGCCGTGTTACCGCCAGACCCTGGAAAAACAATCCCAAACCAGAAGCCAAAACCAAGAAACTGGGCCGAGCGCTGCGCAAAGGCAAGCCCGGGCAGCCGGACCGAGAGCGCGAGCGATCGGTGCTCCTGCATCGCCACTAGCATCATGGAGTCGGCGCGCAAGCCGTTTCACACAGGTTGATTTGCGCCGGCGGCCGGACCATCTCAACAGGAAGAGCATGAGGATTGTGCATGCACGCCAATGCTGCCAAAAGGCAGGTAGGAAAGCCAGAGAAGGCAACATTGCTCGAGAGCACCCGCTCGCCCAGAAGCTGCCCACCAAGGCTAGCCAGGGAAAGCCACCCCGGGCGGATCCGGCGGATGCCCAGGGGCCATGCCTCGCCGCGCCCGACGGCCCCCTGAAGGAGCCCAGCATGGCCTTCCTCGACGACGCGACCGACATCTTCCGAGTCCTGGTGCAGAACGACAGGCGACCACTCGCAGTCGATGGCGCCGAAACTTGTGGATCACAGGAGTCTTTTTCCCAAGGCAAGGAAGCAGAGGAGAAGGAGGAATCCGCTGCCCCTCAAGGGGGGGCCATCCTGAACGCACGGCGCGAGCGAGGCCAACCGCAGGGCGACGAACGCAAAAACTTGCCACAGCCCTGGACTCGACCAGGTTCAGAAACGGCAAGGTTGCGTCTGGCGGCCATGCCCCCCTGGCACGAAGACGACACCACGGGAGTGGCACCCAACCAGCCCGAGCTGAAGCGGAGAGCGGCCAGGGCGCTGCTGCTGCGCCGCGGGGCAGGTGCAGAGCGAGCTGCGACGGGGCGGGCTGGGGCGCCACCCCTCGGCGACCCGGGGCGCGGCTGGCCAGCGGCGCCCTGCACCATCTCGGAGCGGTGGAGCGCTCGCCACCTAAAACTGGGTCCTCCTCCTCAGCCTCCTCCTCCTCCTCCTCCTCCGCCTCCTCCTCCTCCTCCTCCTCCTCCTCCTCAGCCTCCTCCTCCTCCTCCTGCTCCTCCTCCTCCTCCTCCTCCTCCTCCTCCTCCTCCTCCTCCTCCTCCTCCTCCTCCTCCTCCTCCTCCTCCTCCTCCTCCTCTCCTCCTCCTCCTCCTCCTCCTCCTCCTCCTCCTCCTCCTCCTCCTCCTCCTCCTTCCTCCTCCTCCTCCTCCTCCCGCTCCTCCTCCTCCTCCTCCTCCTCCTCCTCCTCCTCCTCCTCCTCCTCCTCCTCGCGAGGCGAGGCCCGCGGGGTCAGATTCTCGTGTTTGCGGTCGCCCATTTTGGCGCAGGCACCACGACACAAAAGTCATCTCGGACGTGGAGTGGACATGGCCGTCATGAAGTGGGCACCTGCGCGGAGCTTTCGGCACGGCCAGAAGGCCAAAGCGCGGCGGCTACACCATCGGACGATCTAGAGGGCTTCGCGGTGGCAGGCCTCGGCAAACTACTGCAGCCAGCGCGCGTGCAGCGTGCCCTCCAAGATACAGGACCAGTCCAAACCTCAGGGCAGACATCAGCATCGCCTTGTGGAAGCTGGGCGCATCGGTTAAGCCACGCATGAGCAACATCATGCCTTCATGCGTGTCACCGTGATGAAATTGCGCGCGTCACTCATGAGGGCTATCCGGCATGGTGGCGTGCCTGCAAGGAAGGAGTACCAGCATCGTGCATGAGACGACCACGAAGTCGCAATCACGACCTAAGGGACGAGGCCACGCAATGGCATCACCGATCTCGTCATAATCCTGGACATCGCGTGAGCGCTCAAGGGCGTAGAGCAGCGATTGCTGGAAGATGCCTACGGCAGGTCCAGGTTTGATGACGTGGGCATTGGTTCTGACACATCGTGTATCGTTGAATCTCGAGCGGTCGCCGCCTTCCAATATGGGAGAGCGCCCAATACTGGCCAAGTTCATGGAGCCGGCGAGGATCAATCTTGAACGCCCTGACCAGCGTCGAAAGAAGCACCAGCACCGAAAGAACCTGCGGTCAGAGATGGCTATCTGGTGCTGGGCTCGAGGGACACGGAAATTCTAGGTTGCACACTGCTCGTTGACATCGATCAGCCTTACGGCGCGGGCCCGATGAGCGAGAAGACCTTCAAGAGGTCGGATGCGCGCATCGTTCAATCAGACCCAAGGGTGTCGATGATTCGTCGTCTCGCCATCGGGCTCGACGAATACGTCTACGTTATGCATGCACCGCATGCTGGACATTCACATCTAAATTACGACGAATGGTGGACAGAGCTAGAGGAGTTGTTCACCAAAAGGCGCCCAAGTGTAATTCTTGGCGGCACTAATGCAAAGATTGGACGTTCCAGCGCAGAAGGTGCCACTTGTTCTCAGGCAGTCGGCAGTCATCATACTCACTACTGCACACCAGATACCGACGATGGACCTGGAGCTAGGCTAAGCAAGTTGCTGAACGAAAATGAGTTGTATCTTCCAGTTTCCATTTTCGTACACGAGGGCGGCCACACGCACGTGGCCATCTCCAAGTCGCTGTTTAGGATCGACCACATCATTACTAATGGGGCATTTCATGAAGCCACTCAAGAGTGCTGGGTTGACTACGAGTTCGACTCCCACTGCGACGGCGAGGACCATTTCCCAGCGTTGCTCAAGGTGCGGTTCAGCAGTTCGAAAGTACCACCCCGCTCACGGAT